GAAGGAAGGAAGGAAGGAGGTATCCATCTACCCTATCAGCTCTTTATGGTTTTGATAAAAGTAAGTGCAATAACAGAATCATCTGACCCTTTTGGTCAGATGAGTTGATAGGAGTAAAACTAACTATAAGAAAGCAAATTAAAAGCAGATTGGAGATTAAAACTCTATGGGATTTTTTTTCTTTTGGATTTTCACTGCTCCTTAAAGACACCTTCTGCTGTTGTAATCCTTTTACTTAATCCTAGATAGCTGCAGGCTTCTAGATTTCAGAACCGGTCAAGTTTTGCTATGACTCTTGGTATCACAAATTCCTATGTTGGCAGTTTGATGGCTTTCGTTTTTGTGTATCTCTGTAACCAAAAATCAAAAGCAACTGTTCACCTTTTTTTGGCTGCAGCTACTATAAAATGCGCACACGCTAGCCCAGTGTTGCGGGTGGCAGTATAGACCTCTGCGATTAGCATTCACAGGCTGAAGCTTGTTGTATCCACCGCATGCTCCTGTATTCACCACATCCAAAGCATTTTGCTAACAACACCTGCGCTGAGCTCTTAAATTTCTTAGAATATTTCAGAACAGACATCTGGAGCAACAGGAACCTCCTTACAAACCAGATCACATGGAAGGGCTGTTAGTCACCTGAGCTGTGTGCACAGAGGTTTTAGCCTAGGGAATTCAAACAGTGGTGGCTAGATATTTATTTATTAGGAAGATGTGTATGAGTAAAGAAGCAAAAAAAAAGGAAAAAAAAAAAGGAAAAAAAAAAAGGAAAAAAAAAAAGGAAAAAAAAAAAGGAAAAAAAAAAAGGAAAAAAAAAAAGGAAAAAAAAAAAGGAAAGACATTACTTACTTCAAGCTAGTACTTTAGGCTGTTTAGTTAGTGGCCCTGCTTATAAAACCTTTCATGGGACGCCTTATCCTGTTTTAAGATAGATGTCAGGGACAGGTGGAATGAATCGCATTCTAGGGACGCCTCTCTGTTGACCGTGGAAACAATCAGTGTAAGCTCTGCAGCTCACTTTCAGACAGCTGAAGGTGGAGGCAATGAATCCATCAAACATGTCTCTAAGTCTTTTTGCTAGTTCAGAGCGCAAGACTGCATTCGCTTCATGGACAAGCAAGGCTGAGCTTGGGTCTGCTTGCAAGACTGTTTGAACAAATCCCTAATTTGTCCTGACCTTCTCTTGGATAAGCATAAGGGACCGTATTTCTCATCAGATGCATATCGCAGAGGCAGCACATTCTTGTGAATTGTCCCAGAATACTCTCTGGGTTTGAAACTTGTTTTGTTTTATTGAACACTGCATATGGAAATCGTCTCACTAATTCTTACGCAGGGACAGTACTCCTTCTAGCTGATAATCCTCTGCTTATATAGGCAAGGATCCCCTTAGCTCTTCTAGACACAGTTCTGCATCAGGAAATCGGTCAGTTTTATTATCCCATTTTCAGAGAGATTCAAAAATAATTGCTACTTTCTGAAACAGTCTCTCATCCTGTAATGAAATACATCTTCTATGAGCATAATAACATTTTAAATTCTGAAATTATGCTTAAAATCCTGTGTTATTTCAAACACAGGCAAAACCACCCTTCTTGTTTTGCATTTTTTTTTTATTCTAGGATCCTTGTTTGCTCATGAGATCTTAATTTCATTTAAAACTCTAAAATCCTTAAAATTAGCAGCTGAATAAACAGTTTCTTCTGCAAATGTGGCATATAATTTTGTGCCTTCTGCAAGCATTCCCAAAGGTTCCTATGTCAGATTTCAAGCTTGGTTGTCATAAATACATACAAAAGGTACCACGTAGAGCACTAAGAGTTCTGCAGTATTATTCACCAGGGAACTGCAGGTAGATTTTGATGTCACTTATTCCATTCATGGGCATTCATTGACCTTTCATTTATGATTTGTCACTGCAGAAGGAAAAGAGGAAAATGCTTTATCAAGGGCTACGAAATCCTTCAATCCCCTATAAAGTGCCAGTCAGATCAGGAGTCACAAACAGAAAAACTACGGCTAGAACAGCAGAGCCATCAACTTCAGCAGGTAAATGCCACCAACCATAAATCCCTATTATTACTAGATCTTATATCTACATCTTTGGTATAAGTGAACATGATGCAAGAGCTGGTAAAAATCACATAGCACCCCTTCGGTTCCTGGAAAAAAGAGACAGAAAAGACTTGTTGGATCTCCTGCCTCAGTTTGCTGCCAATGGAGAGAAATTATGAGGGAGCCCCAAGGGTAAATGGGAGCAATAAAACTCACTAAGCTGACTGAAGGAATATGAATGCAGTGTAGTGAAACAGCAAATAACAGGAGACCAATCAGTTAAAATATGATGCACGAGTACCTGCAGACCTGCATGTGGGAAGTGTTCTTCTCCCTGTGCTTCTTTTAGGTCCTAATTCAGCAATGCACGTGTGGAAGTGCCTTACTGCACCAGGATCAACCACATTTAAATCACAAATGAAAAGACTGTCTGCAACTAAATGCAGGTGATAGATTTAGGGACACAGACTATTCTGTGATTAAGGGGCTATATGTTTTATTGATCAGTAAGAGGCACAGAAAGTGACCCTTAAAAAGTTATTTCTTTCTGCTTCCACTTCAAATTCCTTGACAGTTGTATTTTACTTATATTTTCTTTCATCTTATTGTTAAATGTTGTCAAAGACTAGAATGTTAATTTTAGTGTGTATAAATAATTTATTGAATAATAATATATGAAAATGAGTTTGATATGCTTCTCTATATGAACAACATTCCATTATTGAAATTTATTAATCTGCACATTCCACTCCATCAAACCTAAATTTTTTGAGGAAGAGGAGGGGAGGAGGTGGAGAGGCGGTTTGCAAAAATGCAGTAGTGGGCTAACTAAATCTGAATACTTGGTCTCTGAAAATGCAGATATCAGTGTAATTCAAATCATACTGACAAGATACAGAACAGTTATATGCAGTCATAATAACAATTTATATACCGTCAATATTAATAGCAGTGTCTGTCTGAGAATACAGTTTTAAAATAGGTTCATACAATTTTATTAAGTATAAAAAAGACACCGTGCAGAGCACAATACAATATATTTCATCTTCAATTCTGGTAGTTCTCAAACTCCACTGTCTTAATTGATATTGTCACCAATGACCACCGGATAGAATTACTTCTCTGTACAAAATGAGGCTTCTCTGGATAAATTCATGCTGTTTGGTTTCAAAAATACAGTAATTTCCTTTCAGTGGCTACTTACACTAATCAAACACTGTCAAGACTTGGCTAGCCTGCATTTGGTTTCTAACATATGCTACGATACTGCTAATTTCCCCTGTTTTGCTTTGCCTCTCTCCGTTTGAGAATAGACCCTTCATAATATTAATTGTTTCTGACTTTGTTCCAAGTTCACAAGCAGAAAACTGGTTCAGACCATTTCTACATTCCTCACATTACTAAACTTTCACTGACATCAGCTGGAGTTATCAACATGCAAGGACTGCAGGGTTCCCCTGTAAGCTCCTTTTCTCCCCCAGTCTTTTCTAATGAAGCATAGAAGGCATGTTGAAAATGACTATTTTATTTTTTAGAATTTTGGGGGTTCCATTTTCTTATTTTCTTAAAAGTAGATGATGTTTATAGCCTTCCAGCTTTGACTATTTTCTTTGGAAAAGCAGACATGTAAACTTAAGAATTTATATATTTTGTTTGCACATTCCAATTTGGTTCGATTAAAAAAAAAAGTCAGAACTCTAACTTCAAACTGATTTAAATGATAACGTGCGAGTCTTAAAAGAAACAACTTACGCTTCCTCCTCTCTAAAATATATTAACATTAGACTGGAAAATAAATTAAAGAATACAGAAAAGCCGAGATTATGCTATCACAGTAATATCTGCCAAACAAAGCTTGGTCTTTTGCTAACATTAGCTTACTACATTTGCAATACATGCTAAGCAAAGACCCTACTTCTCTAACAGGTACATTCAGACAATATATATTTTATGGAATAAATATATAATATATCCAGTTATAGATTTCTGAATAGTAACTATAATAGATACAAGCAATACCTACGTTTAAAAATACAGTTCTAGGATTCCCTAACTTTACTACTAATAAAATTAAAGTTGACCTAAAACTTTCTCACTCTGTTGATGCATAATAAAATATATGGAAACACCAAGAGTAAAAAGCCAATTGCTTCTACAAATGGAATACTTTATAAATATAGTAAATTGCTATTTCCAGAGGGAAAATTGGAAATTATAAACAGGAAGTTAGGTTAAAACAGCTCTACAATATATAGTACAAAGTGGCTATGAAGCGTGATGCATGAGTTTGATGTCTGTGGCAAAATTTTGAACTGATGTAGTTGTTCATTTCTGGAGATAACTGTAGAGAAAGATTCTGTCCCCAAAACCAGCCAATCTTGATCTCCTTAAAACAAAACTTTCACTGACTAGAGAAAGCCAACTGGCCAATTTCTCAGAGTAAGGAGTGCAAGATTAGATCAAACAGAATTATTTGGAAGCCCTGGACTTAGAGCTCTGTTTCATAGGGTTTACCTATCATGCTGTTCTCATTAGAGTCCCAGAAGTACTATGTACCTGTGACTGCCGTGTGCTGAAAAACCTTATCATGAAGGTACCCTCCCTATGGCTGTCTTAACTACATTATTCTTGCACTGCACATTCTCTTCACAAAGGTGAATTCTTTTTTGTGTTCCTGTAGTTGTTTCCTTTTGCTGGAATACTGAAGTGCAGCTCTGGTTGCTTGATTACTGAACTCTTGAGCGAGGCTTTTTTTTTCTTGAGAATAACCTAGAATTAAAGAAACACATTTCTCAGAGCAAACACAAGGAGTTCAGGAATTAAGTTGCTGGCTGTCTCTGCCTGCCTTTCTTCCCTTTCAGCTTCAAGAAAAGATTCACATCAGTAAAAATACCTTACTTGCTCATGAAAAGATTTAGGTAACTGAAAAAACGGAAAACTTCACGAGACTGTGCCATTTGTATATTCGTCTCCTGCAATGGTCCCATTTTATAAAGAAACCCCAAACTTACTTTATTAAATACTACCATTTATATCTCCTGCTTGAGTTGAGGCCCTGAGGTGGGATTCCGATCCCACTTGGAGACTTTGTTTGCATCAACAAAGCTGGAATTCTGGTGGTCACAGCATGAGGGGTCTACGAGGTGGGTTTTTTTCCCCTAAATATCAACAGAGGTCAGTGTCAACATCAATAATGATGAAACCACCTCTGGGAACTTCACTTTCTGACCATTTGGGGACTTTCTGAGTCACCTGTAGACTTTTACTGCTACAAACATTCTGTTTTGGGAACACCTGGTATGAGTTGTGGAGGACTAGGATGTAAGTCATTAGGACATGCTTCCTACTTGATTTCATTTGGGCAAATGGAGCATATCTATAAATGTAGTCATGTTGCAAACTCTCATTGATTTCAGAAAAACTGCACATATGGAGAATCTCTGTACCTCACACGCCGTGTTTTGACTACACTGGGAAACTTGCAAGCCCCTCAGAAGCTGTCATAATATTGAATGTCTGTCAAGAGGGAATGAAATACTTTGTATCAAACTTGAGATGAGAAGTAAGTCCTTGTGAGTTCCCTGCAGAGGAACTACAGAGTGAAGTTTGGGTTCCCTGTAGCAGGGAAGGGACCAGGAAGTCTCTTCTTTACATACCAGCAGCAAATCTTGAGGTTTTGTTGCAGAGTGGTAACAGACTACTTGAAAATACCTTAAACTGTGTCTAAATTTGGTAGTGTATTCTTACTTGTCACAAATGCTCTGTTTTTTAATTAAAAAATATTCCCAGGAACTGCAGAGTTCTTATGCAGTCTTACTTGCAGGTAAGCCAGAGCTGCATAGCAGCTATTGATCTTGGCGTTATTAATTGGAAATTCGCTCCAGAATTTGTTAGGGCCTTTCACCTATTTTCATAATGCATTTTTACTGGCATGGCCCATGTGGAAATGTACCAAAGAATGAGCTCTGATCATCCTCCTTGCAGTATGTTCTTGCCAGGGCACCAAGGGCATGGCCAGCCCTGACTGCCCCTGACCCCTCTTTGCCGGTTCCCCCCACCCTGTCCCTGGCCCAGGCCCTCATGTCAGCCCCCCGGGGTTCCCCCCACTCCCCCACGGCCCAGGACCCCACATCAGCCCCCCGGGCCCGGGCCCTGCCAAGCTGGGCCCACCCGTAGACCCACATCCCATCCTCAGCCCCATCCCTGTGAAGGTGCCCAAGGCCTGGGGCTGGGGCTGCCCCGGTGTCCCCGGCTGGGGCTGGGCTGGGCCGTGGCACCAGGCCCTGCCCTGATGGACCCCTGGAGCTGCTGGCCCCGGCCTGGTGCCATCAGTGGGCTTTAGGGAAGACCAATGAATCCTCTCACCTACGACATATGGTTTTGCTGTGTATTTTGCTGCTGTTGCTGCTGCTGGATGAGCAATTGCTGCTGTTGCCGGCGCCGGGCTGTTCTCAGTTTTTCGAAGCGAGCCTCCATCTCCTCCAGCACCTTGGGAGTGTAGCGTACCACCAGCTTGACGCTGTCCTTAGCCGCCTTCAGCAGCTCCACTGCCTTCTCATGGTGCTCTCCTTCCACGCTCTGGGAGCAGGGAGAAGAGATTTAATGAGGAAAACGCTTTGATTTGGAGCTTTGTCCTCTTTTTCATATGGAAAGGCTGTCGGGGTTTTAGGAAGTTTTCACACCTTCTAGTTTTCAAGGGACCATTAAGGAAAAGTGTTGAGTTAAGTAAGATTTATCCACTGCTGGGAATGTATTCATTTTCATATCTTAAATAATTCAAATCTGTTTCAAGCTGCGTTACAAACCTAATTTCTGAACTGTGTGAAAAGGAGGGGAAATACTCAACAAGCTTTGTGCAAACAAAAATGATGTTAAAAAAACCCCCAAGCCCCACAGTAAAAACCCAAACAGTCTGTTTGCAAGGTACAAAAATAAATATTTGAACGTTGGTAAGAAATGAAGAAATTGCAAGTTTGAAACCGCAGTTCCTTTCTTACACCCTGTCCCTGTTTGGATCCCGCAAGGAACGACATGTAGTGATGAAGCAGGGGCTGAGCTGCAGGCAAAGGAGCATGCCCGCTGCGGCCAGGGACAAGCCAGGTCTTAAACACTTAATGGCATTGCTCACACGTTTAACATCTATGTGATACGGGTTCTCCACTGGAAATAAACTAGTCTTTATCCGGTCAGTTGTAAGCAATCAAACACTAACAACTTTAACACTGCAAGTTCTTGCTGAAGGAATATATATTTTCCCTCCCTTTCTGGAAAATGTTTTACAGTAAGATGATATCTGCTGTGAAATCAAAAGTATTCCCAAAGGAGCTCAAGCTCCGATTTCTATGCTAACATTGTTTGAAACAGCAAATTTCCAAAAGGGGGAGGTGACTCAGCTGTCAAAAGAGTATTTAATTTCTACCAGTAAGTGGACTGACCGGAGTGCTTTTCAAGGCATGTTCCACACCTTAAGAGAAAGGGAGAAATTTTCTAATAGTGTATGATTGCCCATGTGTGTTGTAGGATATATTCCAACAAACAAAAGTATCTCTGCACAGAAAAAAAAAACCAGACTGCACAACTGAGCTCTTCACATGGATTTCAGATCATTTAAAAAATAAGTAATTTTCTTCCCACATAAAATAAATCAAAGTTTTACTACATGCTGTGTTTTAAAACTCTTATGTATACCATGCTATTTAAAATGAATCTATACCCATAGGCCTCCAAAGAGAAGCAGCAGCATTCAAAATATTTGAAGTTCAATTCATGCTAAAAGAATGACTTAGCATCGTTATAGTAACTGTCAGAAGAAAATTATTTCTATTTTCATCTCTCGTATTTGACTGAGTAGCATTGTGCAAGAACAGTGAATAAAAATTACTTCTGCTGTGGTACGCTGTCAGCTGGAAATAATGATTTAAAAGTTTCAAAAAGCAGACATAATACACTTCTACATAAATAATATAAACAACACAATTCAAGTTCATTGCTCTTTATCTTTCTTCTATTAAATATCTTAAATATTAATACAAATAATTATTTCATGTCTGGGTCAACTTACTGGACTCAAGAGTTTCTACAGAAATGTAAAGATGCTTCAAAAATATTAATGCAACTTAGAGAAACAGTGAATGTAATTTCAGGTGCTGAAATGATTACCAGAAACAGAGAAAACTTGAAGTAAATAAACATTTTACTGTTGAAATAAATGACTTAGTGTTTTTGAACTGTATGTTCATGACATACCTCCAGCAGGTCTCCTATTCAAAGATTAAAGAAAATTCATGATCTGTGATGACCAGATTTGTTAGAAATTGTGTTAGAAATTTGTTAGAAATTGGGTAGCACTGCTACCCAAAAGTAATTTGGGGGAAAAAAGAATTTCCTTACAAATATTTGAAAAAGAGGAAATTCGTTGTTGCATAAGAAACAGTCAATGTATCTCATGCTCCAAAGAGAGCCAAAATAAAAAGCAATAGGTGTGAAATTGATTTAATGAACAAGTCACAGATACAAATTAAAACCTCTTCACCACGTCCCCTACACAATAATTGCTCATTGTTAGAAGAGGTCATCATTGCTAACACATACTGTAACTAGCTATCTTTTATTACTTATTTGTGACCGGCTTTGATACTTGTAAACACAGTTACCACCTTAAGAGGAACTGTATAAAATTTGGCATTGTTTTATAATTCATTTTTTGCTTGTGAATCGTCGTCTGCATGACGTGGCATGGACATTCACAGGAAAAGTCAGTGTACTCAGTGTTGTCATGATCAGTTTTGCTGTGCAACAGTATGAACTTAGAACAGGCTATGAAGAAGAATTGCAAGCTCCCAAGCTACATGAAGTAGCTAAAATATTAATTTGCTTTCAAAGAGTCGGATGGTTCTAACCGACATCAATAAGCAATTGTGATTCTAGCTGTTCTGTAGATGGTGTACTTTAATATTTTGTACAACTTAGTAAACTGTATTTAATTCATGATTGGCCTGTTTTCTTTCCCATTTGCCTCCGGCCTTGTTCTTCCAGTTTACAGCCAGTATTTTCTAATTACAAACGAAGGGTTTGACTTTGCTGCTATCCAGGTCAATTGAAAACTCCCATTGACTTGAATAGTAATGACAAAGAATTAAGCCTAAAGCTCTGAACCATAACCAAAGAGGGGAAAATAACAAAGGCAAAGTAAAAGATAGTGCCGCTAAATGCTAATCCTAGTCTCCAAACATACCTAACTCAGGTCTTAACAACTATAGTTTTTGGCTGCTATTAAGATTGCTATACTTGCTCTTAATGTCTTCATTCCTTCACGTTGCTTCACCTGCACAGTGGTAGCTGCACAACTTAAAAAGCAGGGCGTCTTGGAGTGAGAAAAAGAGCTTATACCAGCAAAAGAAGTTGTTTTGCTGTTTGAATTCTTCCGCCTCTGCAAACCTGTGGGACTGTGTTGGTGAAGGACTACTGCTGGTATTGGTCATGCCTGTATAAGGGATTTTGCTGACTGGATTACACTGGCTGGGGACATTGCGATGATCTGACAATCGTATTACTTAAGAACTGCCCACCAAACATGAGATTTAATAATTATTTTTGTTTCCCAGAATGTATACCTTTTTTTAATATGTAATTTTTGATTACATATATTTATATGTACTTACGTCTGTATTTCCCTTATTGCATTGGCAGACAGCATCAAAAAAAAAGGGATGCAAAATATTGTAGAGGCAGGAACAGCTGAAAGAACTGCAGATACGGTGTGGGGAAACATCAACCATTACTGTATCCAGGCTCACAGACTTCTCATAAATAGAAAAGAAAAAAAATCCCACTGTCTTGCAGACAAAAAAGAGAATCTGATTGTTATCCCACAAGTTGAGAAACTGAGAAGAGTATTTCTATTAGATATCTGTAAGCAAATGCTTGGGTGAGAAATTATCCATTATAAACCTGTTTTGTATCCCTTTCTGTATCTGACTCACACCAGGTACCTGACAAATGCAGAACCTTTGCCAGATATGAAAAGCCACCAGCAAGTGCCTTTGCTGAGCCATCTGCACGGCTTACTGCTTTCAATTTCCTTTAGTTTTAGGGGGTGCGTGACAAAAGTATGTAACAAAATCCCCAGCATAATGAGAAAACTATTTTTTAAACATCCGGTGAAACAGCTCAAGGAACAGTCATCCCAGTCATGCTGGGATCACAAATCTGGATTCTGAACATCCAGCTCTAATTTTATGTTGATAATTATAAAGTTGGACAATCACCAACTTCTGAGCACAAACAAGTTACAGATATTTCACTTTCATTTCATGTTCCACTGCTGAGCCGTCTGTTGTATTGTACATACTGTATATTATTTGCTTTTCTCCAGCTAAATTGAGAGAAGCACAGAGTGAACTAGTCCCAGTGAACAGTGTTAAATTTAGAGCTTTTTCCTCCTGTCTCAAGCTGTCTGCAAACAAATTATCACTTCTATAATTTTTGCCTCTTTACGAATTATATTGTATGGGTTTGATTCAGCCCAAGATTGGTGTATGAACAGTTGCTCATAGGCATTGTTTCAAGTATGCAACTGCAATTCAAACTTCAAATTCTGCTGTTTAGACTCTGAATGCAAAAATATTTCTGTTGCATCTCGGAATCAACTTTCTCATGTGTCTACATGCAATTGGGAATTTCATATTGTGTTTTTTTTTCTACATTAGCTAAATATATATTCTAGAGCACATTAATGATTTTTTTTTTCTTTTAACAGAGTATCATGAAATAGAGGTGACAACAGTCAAATTCAATATATCTTCACATCAGAAGGTTCACCACTTTCCTCCCTGGTATTTGCCCAGATGCTGTTGACAGTAGAAGTTTTTTTCAAGAACCATCCACCAATTACTGAATATAAGCACTTTTTATCTGTCTTTTTATTCATCTGTTGAAAGAAGTGTTGAACAACAACAAAATTATTTGATCTACTTCCAATCAGTGAAGTTCAGGCAATTTCCTTATTAAATGTTCCTTTGCTTTTTCCCTGAGACTAAATAATCTTTTCAGTGGCTTTTCTTTTTTTGTTTTGTATCTGTTCTTTCTCATTGTGTACAGGGGCAAGTAAGCTTCCAGACCTATTATTTCTCTTTTGAGAACACGATAGTTGATAGAAGAAGTGGTAAAAAGTCTGTCTGAAGGGTTGCACTGATATTTTGTTTCAAGAGAAAGGGAATAGCTATTGTTGAGAGAAACAGACGACAACATGAAAGCATGCAGAAAATAGCATGTTTTTATTCTTTATAGGCTTGCAACAAAGAGGAAATTTAAGTTGGAAAGTCTTATATTTATGACTGGATTCAGGAATTGCTCCTACGTGCCTTCGGTGTATTTAAATACGAGGTTTAGATGGAGGTTTTGCATGAAAAGGGATTATGTTTTCATTAAGAGAAGTGTAGGGTTATATGAATGAGTATGCTTACCCTTTCAGTACTTTACATTCCCTTGTAAAAGGGAACAAAAAGCAAAATGAAAGGCAGAATTTGACCCATATCACGCAGTCAGAACCTTGTTTTTCCTCTCTATTCCAAAAGCCCTTTTATTTTTACCTGAATACCGACATTCATAGTGAAACTACTGCAAAACACTCCACCCTGAAGTACTGACTTATATGAAAAATGACTATGTAAAGAAGGTACCTTTTTACTGAAAATACATGCTCCCTGTATGTGTGTGTTTGTATATCTGATTTCTGTGACACAGATACCACAGTTGGATGAATGTCACTGAAAGAAATCTGTAATGTACCTTCCACTGCAAATCAGTACCAAATGTGCTTACCAAACTTCTTTTGATTTTATGTGTTCTTTTGATTTTATGTGTTCCAACGCTCTGAAGGTCACAAGGCTGCACAAGTGCCACTGAGGCATCAGTGTGCTTGGAAAGGGCTGTGTGCCTCAGAAGCCGTGAGGTGCAAGAATGACAAAGCCTGTTACTACGCTTTTACTGCAAAAGGGATTTGCAGAATTATCAATTAAGAAAGACATAGCTTCCTTGTAAATTAAGCATGTGGTGTGGATTTAAAATGAAGCTCTTCAAGCACCCTCCATTACAACAGAAATTGTAGTGGCACAAAGTTGTCGATGCAGCTCGGCCTCACTGGCCTGCAAATGCAGACTGAAGGTCTCTCACAGAGCTAATTCCTTTTGTTTCATATGGCTGCATTTTAAATCCCGATATTAGAACAGCTGTGAAAAATGAAAAAACAGACCAAAATGAAAGCTCTATCAAATTTCCACATACCACTCCATTAACCGAAAGCAGCTGGTCCCCCCGTTTGAGCCCTCCATGTCTTTCTGCCACTCCTCCAGGGATGATGCGGGAAATGTAAATAGGTGAATTTTGTTCCTTTCCTCCCATGACATTAAAGCCCAGGCCTTCATCAGTCTTTGGCAGCTCCACCACGCGCGGGTGGGAATGGCCTTCACTTGCAGCAAAAGCAGCAACTGTTGCCTGGAAGAGAAAGACGAGTGATTTGGCTATGTAGGGAGAACACTGACATACACTCTGCTGTTCATTTGCAGGAAGAATTCATTCCTGTGAAGGCATTTCAGTATCTTATTCTGACTTTTTCTGATCATCTGAAAAGCATTTTAAAAAAATTAAGTTCCATGCCAATGCTTTTGAAATAAAGGAATAAGCAGAGGAACAGAGAATTTAGGTGACTTGTCAAAGATAACGCAGGAAGTTAGCAGCAGAGCCAGAAGTATGCACTGGGAAGCCTGACTGCGTGGCGGTGAACACTTATGATCACTAGTGCATTTCTTCTTTGCCTTTGCACAGGAAGAAAATTTGTTACTCTGGGATAAGACAATGTGATCCCTACTGTGTTCCTAGTTGAAAACAAATGGATGGACTGAATTGTTAACCCTCTGCTCTGCTTTCAGAGGTACAGAATTGTTTATTTTATTCTTTGGGCACAGAAAAAAATCCTAAAAGGATATTCCTATTTTAAAAAGTTGAATTTGTGATTTTTATGAAATCTCTCAAGCTGAATAACTCCTGGAACAGGAATATGAGTTTTTATAATATAATTGGATCAAAACTTTTATTGAAAAATTAAATCTTAAGACAATGGATTTATAAATCAATTAGAAAAATCCTAGATTGTTAATCTTAGTCTGGTAAAAAAACCCCATGTAATAAACTCTGAAGCTTGCACCCAGAAAAATATTATATCTTATACTTCATTGTTCACTACAAGCATTTTCCTACTTACAGATCTTAGTAAATCATTAAATAAACATTAAGAAAACCCTTTATCCTTTTCAGTGTGTGTTTGTAGTCCAAACTGCTCGAACAATTCTGCATTATGCTGATGTTTTTTGAGCATCCTTATAATGCTTATGCTTAATAGAAGCTAGTGGATGATGTGACATAATGGATCATTCTCAGTTACGTGTTTTTGTACATGCAGACCTTGTCATCATGCATACATTTTATGTCAGACATGAATGCACTAGGAGAATGCAATGCAGACAGCCCAGAAATAACCAGGAAATATTGCGATATTGAAACATTGCTCTGTAACCCTGCTGTTCTATATGAATAAGAAATGAGAATGGCAAACACTAATTGGATTTCTCCCCATTTACTATACAACATAGCAATAATTTCTATGTTTACCTGCAGTGTAGACAAATCAGGATTTCATACACATATTTCTCTACATAGAAGCATAGACCTTACAAATTTACATTGTCCATTAACTTTCAATTAGAAGAAGGTTAAAATTAGATGAACAGCCTACAGAAAAGAATGTTCTATTTAGTAAAGAAAATACACTGCAATTTAATGTATATTAGGTTATTTGCTGGCCACTATACAGCTTGCTTCTCTAAAACACTGTAGAAATCATTTTGTAATACACTCCCAACCTTCATCTTCTGATACAGCTTTAAATTAAAATCCCTTCACACAAATACATAATGGTAAGATCTTAGTTCCACTAGGGTTTCAGCGAGTTTTGTCACTAATTTCACAGGAGTGGGACCATAAAGAAATATCTCTAAAAAATATTTATTTATGGCTTTTGCAGGTTTACCTGTTTTGCACAGTATCTGCTATACCACCCAGAAAACAGTTTTGAGTACAAAATGATAATGGGAAGAAGAAAGCCATGGTGGACCCGTTTGGAAGCATCTATCTTTGTGCATGTTATGAAAATACAAAGCATATTTCACACCAGCACGTAGAACAGGTATTTTCATGGACGTGTGAATTCCCTTCGAAAATTATCATTTTAGTAGTAGCAGCAATGTAGCTGTCATGGTCTAAGGATAGGAGAAAGGCATGGACAAAGAGACAATATATTTCATTAAAACAGGTAATGCATCAGAAAAAATAGGCTTGAATTTGAGTGTGGAGTCTCTTGATCAGGCCATTTTTATCACTATCCATCCTTACCATCCTTACCACTTACTCAGTATCTACAGTTCCCATTAGCTAGAAGTGGAATTTTGACTGTTTAGTTTCTGTCTCCCGAATCATTGTGTCCTTTCTGGGTGAGCTGTATGGGAAAATAGTCCATTAAGATATTGGTTGTTGCAGGCAGACTTCTACAGAATGAACCAGTAGATTTGCTTTTGCAGAGCAACTTCTCAAAAAGCATAAATTTCCATAAAATCATTCTCTTTTCTTAAGCTACAGAAGCAGCATAAAGGTTGAAATTTTCCATTATGATTGTTACCTGGGAAGTAGCACTGGTTCTAGACTCTGGGCTGCCACTGATGTCTAAATTTTCTTACAGTGTACACACGAATACCTGAAACACACACGCGCACAGTCAATTACTAGGTCACTTTGGTAACATGTATTTCAACAGTTGCACGTATCCTACCTTTGCAGTGGCCCTGGCTCGGAATTCGGGGCAGCCATTAACAGTTATGGTTTCATGCATGTATTGATACACCTAAAATGTTCATGAAAATAAAATGAAATTAATTATAGAATCAAAACAAGGACTTTATATTAACCCAGACAGGACGGTCCCTTTCCCTCATAAGACTCTGTTTCATTAATGCTGTGTTCATGCAATCACATAGTCAAGTGGCTGCTAAACTTGTGCACACACGGGTATACAGAAAACAGCAATCTGTGTTTCTCGTGACACTTTGCAAACTTAACTGTACATCTTCCAGCATGATTCCCTTCTCATCTCTAGCATGTCATTTCCCAAAACCAGGACAGTTAGGTTCTACATTATCAAAGATTGGTGTCTCCAGGCAACTGATTTGAATGCAGATGACCTGAACTGATTTGAGTGGTGTCTTAGCCTCCAACAATGGCTTCTTTGTTCTTTGAACTTCCCTAGAAACTAAACATTTAGGAGACTGATGTTACAAAAATATGTAAAATGCTCAGCTGATTGATTGATGAAATCAATCAAATGCTCAGCTGATTGTAAGATGCTGAAGATGGAAGTGAAAATTAAATTTCGGAGAAAGGTCACAGTACCGGTTTCCATCAACCATAGCTAGGAATTGCAAAAAGGGCTGGCAGTCTGGTAGGTCCGCCACAGACAATGGGTAAGATTTCCTTCAGAAAGGAATTGTGCATTCACATAGGTGGCATAAAATCAACACAGCCAATATGTATAACTTTCTATCTGTTGGTTTTTTTCCCAGTATACACTCTTGGCCCGCTATCTCTGTTCCTTAACTCTCCCTTTTAAACATCTTCAGTAAAGAGAAAGGAAAAGGCTCCCCCACACTGCCTTTGTTCTTTAGATTAGTCACACTCTTAGATGAAAAATATAAAAAAATGCCTTGATACTAGCCAGTTATTTTGAAAGAAAACTTAAAAATACTGATGTATAACTTACGGATTTTTTTGAAAGACAAAAGTGAATGCAAACAAACAAAACATTTTATTTAGTTTTCTTATAAAACCACCAAACCTAAAAAAAATGTTCCTATATGGCACTAATCAGTGCCATACTCTGGGCATTTTCTTGACCTACCTCATAAGGAATTTTGTCTTTTCATGTGTTTTATGTCTCAGGTTGCATTCCTCAGAGATAACCTTTGCTGGTAAAGTATGTTAGCTTTTACAGCAACATCCTTCTCAGGGTCCTTGAGGAGTGTTGATTCAATCATACTTTCCAAAATATATTTACTTTCCACTGATTTCATGATACTTTAGCCAGAGTGCCAAAACTTCCCTCTTTGGTAATGTAAATGTTACTTTGGCAGAGAAAGTGTCAGATCCTGAACTTAATTGACCTATAAACAACCGTTTGTCACACTGATAGGTAAAACTTCCCCATCTCCCTGTCCTGACGACTTGTTATGCACTATCATAATGATGTATTTCTCCTCCCTGAGCCTGTTACTATAAAACCTACACACTGATGAACATATTACTACAAACAATATGGGAATTAAGATGTGTGGCTCATTTCTGATCTCAGTGGACAGACATAGTGGTAATGAAACACTCTTGAGTAGCAAAATGTTTGGAATGACTGATCCCCAAACCTTTTTTGAGGGATATCATACACAAGGGAAAGGCAAAAAAGGAAAGGAGATAACAAATGCAATCCATTTTAGAGACTTAAAATATGCTAAACACTTTCAAAATACATCAAAAACATTATCTGTCTTTACTACCATCAGCACATAAGTCATTCCAGGACTTAATTCAGAAAAACTTGGGCCAGTGAAGAATACTAAGACAAGAGGAGCACACCGAAAAGTTTTCTGCTTTCTCCATTTGAAATGAAAACTTTCTTCCATTGGTAAAATTGACATTGACCTCAGTAAAGACCAGGATTTTGCCCTTAATTTCAAAACTATGGAAAAAGAAAGCTCTTTTATAGCCTCTAAAGGTTCTCTGGTTTGTTCTCTCTTTGTACTAGAACATGCCATCATAAAAATGGGTTGAGTCTACATACTCAGCATTATCCTGCACAGATCAGTTCAATGTTTATTGTGTTATGTTGTAGGGCATATTCTTATATAGTTATAAGAACAACTACTACATTATATAACAAGAACACTGTGTAATTGCAGTAATGAATCATTAAATACTTGTTACGTCAAAACCCCAAACTATATTGAACCACCGATAATGCTGTATTTTCTTGATATCTGCAGGCTCCCCTTTATCTTAAAGCATAAGAGATCATTGTACACATTGGTTTTGCTTGCACAGCTATAAATGCTGTGGCTGGCTATGTCTAAAAGCATATATTTGATTATTGAACTATTATGACATCAAGTTGTTTCGAAAACAGGTCACAAGGTTTCAAATATAATAACAGTTACTAGAAGTTCTTTAAAAATTTCATTAGTAAGGTAGAATATCACAAAAATGAGCTGATAATGATACATCCATGTGATTATTGGCTAGGTTTGATGTCATTTAACTCCATATTGTCTGCGTCCTACCAGTATGTAGCTAGTAGGCTTCACAATAACCAACATCATGGTAACTAATTTGTATACTGGTGAAAGAACAAACTCCCTAATGTATGATATGTTAAAAAAGAATCAACTGACTCAAAAACTTCTGAAAAATACAATCAATAATGTCATATAATCCCTGTGTTCATTTGTAAGTTCTCAAAGATCACAGATTTCAAATGCTGTTCTGCAAATAGTTATCAGTGATCATAATATCTATAGCACAGTTCTTAGAAAAAGAAGTCTTGCATGTCACATCTCACTCTCTATAAGCAACAGATGCGCCCGGTCTTGAATATCCGCTACAAATAGGCATTCGCAAATCTAATTCTACTATTTGACTGTTACATAATGTTTAATGTAATTTGAGTTTAAGAAGGGATAAAACACACACCTACATGACTTATTATTAAGTCAGTTTAACAACCAAACACAGATTAACTGTATCTGTTCCACCAAGCCCCTTAAAGTCTTTGTAGGGTTCAGATCTAATCATTGCTCATTCTAGCAATGCACAAAAAGCACACTGAAGTCCATAAATAATCATTGTTTGCCTGTAGTCACACTAACCCCTTTATCTACGCTGTTCTCAGCAGTACCTTAGCCGTGATTTGTGCACAAAGAATCCGTTCTGCTGCCTCTTCTATGTACACACAACAGATAAATTGAAAATACTCTTTGTTCTCAAACTAAATAAGGTGGCATTTAAATCCTCCTGGAGTGGAATATCACTTTTTGTTCAATTCATTTTATGTGACAAGTAATTGAAATGGTTCTATAAAATCTTTCCTTTCAGTGCCTGTTACCTGTGCATCTGATTGATTACATTTTTAGCATACAGCGATTCTCCTGAATCTAACAATTCTATCCTTAAGATGTCCTTACAAGATCTTCTGTAGATTTCCTTATTTGGACAAAATATCACTTAGTACAGAAGAAAACAAAGGTGCAGAACTTAATTATAAGTATTCTGAAAAGATCCTTTATGATATTTACTAAAGAATTTTTTTAAAACAGTGACCTTTGTTGACCATGACAGATGAATCATTTTGAAAGACATCACTGTGTAATACGAATGAGTTGATGACAGACAATTAATGTATCACAGAATCACAAACTGGTTGAGGTTGGCGGGGACCTCTGGAGGTCACCTCGTCCAACCCCCTTGTTCAGGCAGGGCCACCTAGATCCGGCTGCCCAGGACAGTATCTAGACGGTTACTATTATGTTACCAATTTGAAAAGAGCTGCGTGTCTATTTTTGTTTATACAGATATTTCTTTTTAGAGTATCTAAAAGACTACATGGCTGTTTAGTAATATTGTTTGCTGACAGACTCCATACACAGTCTGATGGTCTAGTGCCTAGGGAAAAGAGTTTCCACAATTCATTAATAATAGAGATTAAATTACAGGTGAAATGTCAATGTTTCAAGACACAAAGCTGCAGCTGTAAGGTAAATGGTAATGTTTCAGCTAATTTTCCCCCACAGCAATTTCTACCAAGATTGTCAGTGTCTGTACGCTGTCATCGGGTAAAAACGTGCTGCAGACAGGGATTTGGTCGCACAGTTCTCATTTGTGCTGTGGAGCTAATGTACTCAGTTTTGTTTCCTCTTTCCTGCGGTGCAGAAAATACAACACTTCCAACAAGAAATACTCCCAAAAACACAAATATAGATCTCAGACTTTTTCAGCTTCTGCAAGTAGTCTCCTCAGACACCATAATCTAAAGTTATTCTCCCACAGTACTCAAAAAATACAAGAAGAGTGAGGAAGGAAAATTACAACTACAAAATCTGAACTTGGAAGTGAATCCTCCTTGTACTGTGGCAGCTCTTGCTGGCACAGAGAAATGTACATTTTATTACTTCTCCCAGCAGGAGCTGTAGTGAGTCAGATGCAGCAGGTATTATTGTTATGACGGTGGTCCTCATCCCCACGCATTCAGTTGGGAGGCAAAGCGGCTGGTTTAGCATTACTGAAGCATGGGAAGGGAGGGCTGCCTTACAGGTACTTTTGGAGCTAGCTTCTTAACAGAAATTACTCCACATGGACTCATAACAAAGCAACACGTACCAGGCTGGCCTACTTAAGTTAATGTAAAGCTTTAGGAGGAGGTCCAGGAATAACAGTGCACTTAGCAGCCTGTTTTATAAAGGTGGCTAGAAGCAGTATTATGTTTACAACCTGAATGATGCAGCATTTCTGCTGAATTCTTCAAGTTACAATTTAATTAAACAGATTTTGTTCCATTAACTTCTGTAAAAGGTGTTCAGTGCTTTGTCCCCCGGTGAAATGTGACGTAATTCTAAGTGCAACCGTACCTACAGTAATGATGCTCAACAGAAATTAGGACAACTTGTCTAAACATCAGAAGGGAAGAAGAGTGAGGCGGAAATCATTTTACAGCAATGAAGAAGTGTTTAAAAAAACCCCAAGACAGCGCACATTGCAATTTAGACCTGTGAAACAGCAGGCCCAGATAAATTTTTCTGAGATTTATAA